AAATACCTGCAGAACTAATCACATTCCCATTAGCCTCAGCTGGACTTTGTGTTTAGTGCTAATTAGCAAATACTAACATGCTAAAGTAACACGGTGTTATGTTCAACACCTGCTAAGCATCGACATGTTAATCTTAGTCTTGTTAATAATATAAGCCAATCGAGCAGCAAAGCTGAAGACTTAACTGGGTATTTCAGGTTAACTGAACCAACCTCAGATTGGTTGAACTTGTTAGCCATCATGATCTCAAAACCTACAGAGAGTGGAGGGCAGTTTTGTTTTTTTTTCTAGGTCGTTGTTGCCACAGCGATGTACCCGGATCAGATCTTCAACACTGAAGCTCCTCTTCACTCTCCTTCCTCGCTCAGGTACTCTCTGACAGAAGAGGGTCTGGCTTTGGCAGAGCGACTGGAGTCAGTAGAACGAGGGACTAAAGACGGCCCAGAGGGGGACAGAGAGGAGGTTAGGAGTGAAGGAGGAGAGGAGGAGGAGGAGGAGGGAGAGGTTGGGGTGGTGGACCTTACTGGGAGCGATCATGGTGAAGAAGAGAAGGAAGAAGAGCGAGTACAGTGAGTGTACATTAAATAGTGAAGCCTTCACCTGCTCTTTTTTTCCTGCTGGAGCATAAGGAATCATCTTCATCACCTTCTCTTCACAGGCCGGCTTGTGTTTCCCAGCCGAGGAGCGAGGCCAGTTCCCAGGCAACGACCAGAAAGGCGAACGGAGGACGTCTTCTGCCCGGAACCTATGAAATTATACTTTGTGTTGACTTCATTGAGACCACCGGGTAAGAGAAGTGTGTGGATATCTATAGCTAGAATATAGTCATCATGTGACTCGTATAATTGATGGCGCGCTGACCGGTCTGTGCAGCGGCAGCCACCACTGTAAGCAGGAGCTGGTCAAAGAGCTTCAGAGAAACGGAGTGAACTTCGACGTCAGGAAGCTAAACGTCGGAGACTTCCTGTGGGTGGCCCGAGAAAAGGTCGCGCCTGTTCCAGGTAACGCGCACACACACACACACACACACACACACAGAAGACAAAACTAAGGGCGAAATATCAGAAAAATTGACAACTTTACACTTTTAAGCAGGAATCAATGCACAGGAGGGCAATTTGAGAAGCTTTGCTGTACAGTAATACATGTTCTTTATTTAATGAAGTCAAGAGAGACAGCAACCAAACATACCCTCTGTTATAAATGGCATTATCGAGCATGCTTATTCAGTAGGTGAAACCTTTTTTTATCTCTTCTAGCTCTCACCTTTAAACTGTGGTCAGAATGTAGGGTTTTCTTGAGCAACTCTATTTATAGAGCTCAGTATCTGTGTCCAATGTTACTTGTATAAAGTTGCATTTTTCAGGCTCCGCTTTTAAACAATGATCATTATCTAACAACTACAAAATGAAATTGTCATCGGACCAATATTGATTGTTTTTTTTTTGTTTTTTCGCCAATATGGACATGAAATAGGCCTTAAATTGCCTTACTAATGGTCTATAAAATGCAGAAACCATGTTTGATAATACATAAAATATAATAAAAAGTGAAACTCTCTGGTTTAATAAGTAATAGAAATACCTGCTAGGACAAGTAGTATCAGACCGAGCTTGTTAAAAGCTTTTAAAAATCGGAGTTTGTTCCACAACGATAACATTAGGTTGCCAGACGTTCGGGGCCTTCATGCAAAAGAAGAACGGTTAGAAACAAACAACAGAGTCAAATCATGTTGGGCTTTAAAAGTAAGCAACAAAAACTGAATAGCACTGAGCTGATACATTCAGTTTTAAAGGTGTTACAGAAATATTACTTGCCTATCTGGAGCACGAATGTCTGCATGTTCTCCAACTATCTACATGAAAGTGAAACACACCACGCTCTCCGTCTCTCTGTCTCTCTCCAGGTCAGTTGCGTGCCCCTGTAGGCAGGGAGCTCGTCCTCGATTACGTCATTGAGAGGAAGAGGATGGACGATCTGTGCGGCAGCATCATCGATGGACGCTGCAGGGAACAGAAGGTTGGTGTGTGGGGGGGGGCAGTGTTCTTCTTTGTTCATTAATTTATCAGTTATTTATTACGTCAAAGTACTAGTAATTTAGTCTTTAAAACAAGAAATCCCCGTCACGAAAACCAGAGCCCTACACACACGTTTTCCATCTTTCTCATCTCCAGAAATGAATATTTATTTCTACCATATTGATTCTCAACAAACCGTTTACTCAAAATTTCTAATATTTCTATTGAGTCTGTTTTATCTTACTGGTTGTAACCATAATTGAACCTTTTCCTTTTCTTCTCTGCATCAGTTTCGACTGAAGAGGTGCGGTCTTCGCAGGCCCATCTATCTGGTAGAGGAGTGTGGGAAGGCTGCCTCCCACCTGAGTCTACCTGAAAGTACACTGCAGCAGGCCATAGTCAACACACAGGTGCACATACACACACTGATACAGTATATTAGATCAGACCGATATTATTGAACAGTACCGGCTTCATACAGGTATATACATGTGTTATCAATCATATTTTGTATGTATATGTAACCCTTATTTTAGCTTATGTTTGATATATTTTAGTTTTTATTTATAATTATTTAGTTATATTGACATTTCCATTGTACACAATTGACTGTAATCTGTACTGTTGCTGTCATTTTTTAATTTAGTAAAAACCCAACTTGCTCACAACTGTTAGATAGCCAGCTTTGAATTATCTGTGGCAAAAATGTGATTGATTTTGTGTGTTTGCTGTCTATATAGTAATGTGCGTGTGTTTGTGTGTCAGGTAGTGGATGGCTTCTTTGTGAAGAGAGTCCAGGATGTGAGGGAGTCAGCGGCCTACCTCACCGTCATGACGCGATACCTGACTAAACTTTACCAGGTGAAACTTCACCACACACACACTTCCCCCATTTCTCTCGCTCCTTCTCTTTTTAAAGGTCCAGTGTGTAACATTTAGGAGGATCTATTGCTAGAAATGGATTATCATATTCACAGATATGTTTTTATTAGATAGGACCTTTTGTGATTTCCACGAGTGGTATTCAGTTGGTTGCATTCTGCAACTTCACTGCTAGATGCCACTAAATCCTACACACTGATCCTTTAATAAAAGCCACTGTGACATTTCTGATTAAACTTGACTGCCCCTAAATAGACAACAATGGGGCTGTATGGCACAGAGGAATAAGATAGATCAATTATGCTTTACACTTAATTTGGTCCTTTTTTGATCTTTATTTCAGAACTGCACGCTGATCTGTCGCTCCAGAGAGCTGGAGGGCGACGGAGGAGGGAGTGACGAGGAGGAGAGAGGAACCCCTTCCTGCTCTCTCATTTCTTTTCAAGAGTTCAACCACGGTGCAGTTAAAAACAAGGTGCGTGTAGAGCGTGACGCAGAGAGCCACCTTAATCTGTCTTTTTTTCTATAAATGCGCTGTTACAGCTGTGTTTGTGGATCCCTGTTCCCCGTCTGTTCCCCGTCTGTTCCCTTCTAGTGTCAGACGGTGAGGGAAGTGTTTGCCAGGCAGCTGATGCAGGTAAGCGGTTTGTCTGGAGACAAGGCCGCTGCTATCCTGGAGCTATACAGCACTCCGCACAGGTAACTTATCATTATACGGACACACGTTTCACTCACTCACAAAGTATCCTTACCCTCCCACCTCCCTTTTTTACCTGGTAGATGTTATAAGGAACAGTTTGGGTCTAATTTTTGGAAAAGAAACACTCACAGGAGTAGAGAAGTGAAGGGTGTGCGCACACTCACTGTCACTCAGATGAGACCAGACTGACCAGAAATGTTGCTGCGGTAAGAAAAAAACAATGTTAATGTTATTTTTTAATCTTTCTCTGTCTCAATCTCAGTCTTCTGGCGGCCTATGAACAGTGTGCAAGTGAGGCAGAGAAAGAGAAACTCCTCTCTTCCATCCGATACGGGAAGCTCAAAAGGTTCGTAGAGTTTAGTTAAGATTGTTTTTCTCAGCTGAAAAGAAAAGGCTAAATGTCATACTTCACTGCAGATATAATAAAGTAGAAGTTAAGTTACTGTCAAAAGATACACATTAATGTTGTGAACTGCCTTTTTATTACAAAAAAGAACATTGTCAGCATTGTCCAGTGTAAAAAAAACAGAAACAGATGTTGATCATTTTCATGTTAACTTAAGTGAAATGATTATGTTCTCCTGTATATTCTATAAGACTTGGGCTTATAAAACCCTTTCTACCCCCTAAGGGATGAGCTGAGAGACAAAACTAAATGCTAAATAAGATAAAACGATTCACAAGAGCTACGTAATGACAGTACCAGGACTAATTGCAGTTGGTTGATTGCTTTATTTTCTGTGTTTTACAGGAACCTGGGTCCAGCTCTGAGCAGAACGGTGTATCAGCTGTACTGTACTCAAGGAGCACTGTCATAGATGCACACAGTAACACTTTCACCCAGTCATATATTTTCTGTCTCATAGACGGATGCAAACTCAAGCTAACTCACTTTATAATGTAAATCCATTCGTTCATCCATTCTTAGTTCCTGCTTTACTTGAATTAATTTGAGGACGGTAATTTACACGTTCATGTAAATGTAAAGATACTGCTATATTTTGATTATGTCAAGTATTTCTCAAATGTATCCTGATACTGCATCAATAAAGTTTATTGTTTTGTATTCTGTTGTTTTAATGCAGATGTTAAGGTGGGGTCAATGAGTTACACTTTCTGTGCTGGCCAGAGAGAGGCTGCGGTAAAACCTAAATCCACTTCTTTCATTCTGGGACAATTGCAAGAAGTCTGGCTGTGAAATGCATTCTGGGAGAGAGGTTAAACTTAGTGACAGGAAAAATCAACAAGGCTCTTGAAGCTGAAGGCTTTTAGAAAGAACGTGGCCCAGGAACCTTCCTTAAGATGTCTTATGTAACTGAAATTAAATTAGTAATTGCATTACTGAATATAATGATACGCAGTCTCCAGTCGTATCTATTGAGTGCCATGAGTTTCCTCACAGGTGGTAAATGTAAAAATTGTAAGTTAAACCCAAAAATAGAATTACATAAGAACAGTGGGACGAGTGGAGCAGCCACGATTAGCTGAGTGAAACTAAATTAAGGGGCAACAGTTGGGTCAATAATTATTAAGCAGGAATGCCAAACATTTGCTGGTTTCACCTTCTCAAACGTAAGGCTGCTGCTTTTTTTGTCATATGATCCAATATATTTGGGATTTGGACTCCTGATCAGACAAAACGAGCAATATGAAAGATCAAATATGAAAAATCAGTTTGGGCTCTGGGAAAGTGTAATAGTCATTTCCCACTATTTTTTGACATGTATTTAATTAAATGATAAGGACTGTTGAAGCAGCACCCTACAACATCCACTAGATGTCACTAAAGAACCACAGTTTTCACCGACTGCACCTGTCTGAAAACAGTAAATGTGCACACACTCACTCACTTCTGGGGCTTATATTTCATGTATGTGGCTGAAGCTCGAGGCTAAAAAAGAAATGAATGAATCAATGGAATGAGTGAAATCTTTATCTGCACTTCAAATGTGTCAGCACTCAAATGTGATGTGTTATTGTGACAGATTATCAATGGAAACAAATGAGGACAAAAATCTAAAACTTGGGTAGTAGTTTGTGTAGCTAATTATTTAACTGGAACCGGCTGTTTTCAGCGAGCTGTAAGTCACCAGTGCATCATTCGGATTCATTTCTTCACCTATGCTCACACTGCAGGAGCTGACATGTGGCTCAGACGCTGCGCTGGAAATTCCCAGCAGCACAAATCACTGCGAGTATTTATTCTTATCCCGATGGACAACTGGCCAAACACAGATGATCTAACGTGGTCAGTATTTCTCGTGCAGAGACCCCAGAGCTGAATCCGAGCGAGTTGATTTTAGTGTTGGCTCCATAGAACCACTATAGATTCAACTATATTAACCAATCACAGAAGAGAAAAAGATGTTGTAGCCAGGAACTGAAGAAAAATGACTCATATACTCATAACTCAAACTCATATTTAACTGTGTTTTTGTCTCAGTTTAATTCTAAAATAAATATATGGACAAAACAGTGACAGTGTGATTCCCGGGGGACGCACCAGCTATCACCAGCAGAAACTCCGGTTGCTCTACCTGCAGCATTAAAGGAGAGTAACGAGTAAATCAGACCAATTTAATGGGGAAAAAAAGACAGTATGTAAAAAATAAAAGAAATGTACACACAGCATGCCGGACACTCCAGCAGTCAGGTTCTCCCAACAAAATAAAATAAGATTATTTTTGCTTTTTCTGAGTAAATTGATAGATTGAGGAAATGTGGCAACGTGCGCACACACACGCACACACACACACAGGGAATCTCAGGAGTTACACTCTCTACTCAATCAGATGTGGATTAAAAAGGAGTTTGCAATTGTTCATTGTTTCCACCAGTTAAAGCCAGTGTGTGTAGTTTTCTACTTGATTATGAGCTTGGAGTCCTTGAGCAGCAGAGAAAAGAGAGAGGAGAGAGAGAGAGAGAAGAGGAGAGACGAGCAGCGAGAGAGGATGAGAGAGAGAGAGAGACTGTGGATGGCAAACAGTCAGCTGAGGATCTTATTCAGCGCGACTCGTTCGACACGCTCCTGATTTGATTGTGACTTTTGATTATTTCGCAGGTTACATTCCAATAGAAGTGGTTGATTTGATTAAAAAAAAACAAAATACTTATTTTTCCTTTCTTTTTCTTCCAGCTCTGCCTCTAACCTTCAACCATCTCCAGTCTGGTCCCTAACTTGAAAACATCTATTATTTACAAAAACAAGAATACAAAACAACAACCTGACAGGACTCATCTTGGAACAGAGTACCAAAAGTGCCATTTCCATTGTTCTCTTCTTAAAAAGGAAAGACTCATTTTATTTCAGGCCTGTCTTAAAAACAACACCCGCATGGTGAGTGGCTGTGATCGGAGAGAGAGAGCAGAGATCAAAACAGCTGTTCCTTGCTTGGGCCTAAATTTCAGACTTAAGGTTGAGGCTGAAGCCAATATGAGGCTTGACTAATAGTGTCAGAGGTTGTCGTCTTTAGTGTGACATTCCTTCTTTGTGTTACCGTTTCCTGTGCAGCGTTGCATTAAAACGGGATTTTGTACTAACTTTGACTATCTTTGGAAGGTACAGACTTCTGAAGCCTCGTCTGAGCTTTGGCTGCACTTTTAAATGCATTTATTTACACATAACTGCGGACCCCCCCCCCCAGTCTCTTCAATTGTTATGTTTGTTAGGAAGACGGGTACGGACATGAGGAATAATCACAGCTACCAGATAATGCTTTCAGGTATACGTACGCGGCACGGGAGCGTTGCACTGCAGATCAGGACCTGCGAACAAAAACCGAACCCTTTCCTTTAACCCCCCCCCCCCTCGTTTTCTCCACCTGCATGGTCAAAAAGTGAGAACAGGATCAATAAAGGTTACACTGATCCCAAAGCTACAAAGTCTCTTCAATGGTCCCCATCACAAAGCGAAGGCAAGCATCGAGTCCGAACCCAAAGCTAAACATCTACTGCTGGTACGGAGTCCAGCACTGGAGTCCACACAGATCCAGCTCCTCGGTTGTGTCTCCTAGGAGACGCTTCCTTGGTCGGTCCGAAATGTCCGTTGTCAGAATGGATACAATTAGGATGAAGCAAAACAGTGAAACTTCACCTGGAGGTGAAAAACAAAGCCGTCCTTTCTTTTGGTTCCACCGCTGGATCCTCGTTGGTTAGGCGGGGCAGTCTTTACCTTCAGACGGCCGGTGTTGGGAGGATTCTGGATCCGTGGCCGTGTTTGGCTCTAATGTGTCACTCTGGCCCGCCGTGCTGATGCAGAGTTTTAGGTGAGGGGACCAGATCCTTCAGGACAGCAGATTTTAAAAACCAAACACCGTGTCCTCTGCTGTTTTTGGCTCCATGAGTTGAACACGTCCACACAGCAGTCCCCGTCCCTCCGGCTCCGAGACTGGCGCTTTAGTCCGGCATGTCGATGCAGAGTTTAGGCGGCGGGACGAAGTATTTCCCGGGGCTCTGCGTGATCACCACGCCCGTCTTCTTGTGGAACATGGGGGCGATCTTCGGCGGCGGCTCAGGGACGGGCAGGTCCTCGGCCGCCTCGGGGTCCTCGCTGCGCTGGAGGTCATAGGACACGTTGCCGTACTCGCGCAGGAAGGGGAGGAGCTCCAGCAGGAAGTGGCAGAAGTCCTTGCGGATGCCGAACCACCCTGCAGGAAGATCGGGACAGAGAGGAGCACCATTAGAGCTGCAATGACTCGGCAATTTATGGATTAGTAGATTAACAATCCAAAAATAGTTTGTAGTCAAACTGCTTCCAGCTCCTCAAATGTGACAAATTGTTGGTTTTCTTTGACAGCAAACAGATTCTCTTTTAGGTTTTATACTGTTGGTCGCACATAAAACAAAGAAACATTTGGAGACGATCAAGTAATCGTAAGAATTCTGTGTTTTAGCCTCTCAAATGTGAAGATTTGCTGGTTTTGTCTCCTTTTTTATGATAAACTGAACATCTGTATACTCGAGCTGCAACTAATGATAATTTAATACACTTTCTCGAATAACTGATTATTTGTTTGGCCCTTAAAATGACAGCAGGGACAATGACTATGGTTAAAAATACTGATCAGTTTCCCAAGGCGACATCCTAAAATGTCTTCCTTTGTCCACAACCCAGAGACATTCAGTGTCTTAGAGGACTGAAGAAATCAGAAAATATTCACATTTGAGAATCTGAAATAGAGAATAAAGAGAATTTTTACTTATATTTCTCTAAAATGACTAAAAACAATTACCAAGAGAGTTGGCATTTAATTGAATATTTGACAACTAACTGATTCATCGCTGCAGTTTTATAGGAGACACAGTATATTCTGAGTTGTTCATGAACAGCTTCAGCTGTCGACAAGAACTGATAAAGATTTCACAAAAAGCTATGTCAAGGAGAAAGCCTATAAAAAGCCTATTATCACTACTGTAAGAGACGGACTAGAATTAAAGCCCCAGTGGAAAACACTGAGCAGCCAGCAGCACATTACTGGCTTTAAATACTCACAGTGGTTCCCTCCCTTCTGACCAAACGTGGTGGCCATGAGTGTGAGCAGGGAGAGCCAGAGAGGGACGAACACACACACGTAGCTCAGACTGTTGTGGCCGTCCAGCTTGTGCACCAGGAGGATCTGAAGAGACACATTTTATAGGTAAAAGAGAGGAAACGGTGCCCGCTTTACATTTAACATGGTGGTAAATGGAGGGAATCCTAAATGACGGCCTAAGATGGTGGCATATATTGATTTCAGATAATCAAAGATGGATTTTAATGACCATAATTTGATTTGATTCAACTTTATTGTCATTGTAAGTTCAGGTAGAAACGACGAAATGCAGTTAGCATCAACCAGAAGTGCAAAGTAGTAAATTTACAAATGTGCAGAAATATGTAAAGAAAAAGTAATAATATTATAGATATATGGATGAATCTGCTGGCAAGATATTTACATTATGAACAGTGTTAACAGAATAAATATATACGGCAATAAGTTAAGATATTTACAGTATGAGTTCGGGGGGGTGGGGGGTCTCCTCGACCCAGAGTTTAGTTCATAAGACTTAAATTCGATCATTACATGTGTAAACATGTTTTAAAAATCATAATAAGATAGAGTTAACAATCTCGAACAGTATTTATGGTAAACAGTTCATTTTCACCTCTAAACAAAATGACATTTGTTAGTCTTTCACATTTTGTCTGATATCAAGCCATCAGGTAAACATTTAAAATGGCTGTACACATTAAATACCAGTAATCATTTTATTTTTAAAGCAATCTGCTTTAGATTACAATTTTTTTTATTTAATTTGGTGAGACAGACACTATAAAATGTGATTATCTAACTGTCTTTGTGTTTAATGTCAAAGCTTGAACATGAAATGATAACATGAAACATAACACAAAACAATAACTTCATATTAAGAGTATTCCAAGTTAACCGTTGCACTCCTGTAACTGTCAGCCTGAGTCAGAACCACAGATATTGTCCTACATTGCCCAGCATGCAACTGAACTGCCAAGAGAATCAGCTGCCAGCGGCGGCTACCGTTAGAACCAAACGACTCACCTCGAAGGTGAGGAGGGGCACGACGATGGTCATCCAGCTGATCGCCATGGTGATGTGAGTTCGCCGTTGCTCCGCGATGATGTCGATGGAGCGGAGGAAGAGGACGGACCAGATGATGTAGTAGAGGACGACAAGGCACAGGAAGGACATCAGGATCCACAGCGGGACGCACACCACCTGAACGCCACACGAACGGATCGTTAAAGAACGACGCAGGGAGGGAAAACACAGACCTGCCGACGCTTCGCTTTGCACGCGGCCACTTCCCCCGCTCACCGCCACGTCCTCACGTTATTCAACACATAAACTGGCTACGAGCAAAACAATACAATCATATATACTGTACGTTTTACTCCATTAAATATGTTTACCTATTAGATATAGTTACTTTTTTATATAAGTGTGACTTAATTGTGACGCTTTATGTTGACATCTTTAAAATGCTTATGTATTAATATTCCAATCATTTATGAATGGATAAATCTAAATGGGCAGTTTTCATTTACTTTGATACAGTTAAGTACATTTTGTAAGATTTGACATAACAGACACATATAGATTTAATTAACAAAAGAGGTCAGTAGTTCTTCTACCACTGTTTATAGACGACACAGTGCCAACACACACACACACACACACACACACACACACCTCCCACTGACTTTATTTCTGCAGTGCATTATCTGCTCCTCTCATTATGGTTATGGATGTGGCTGCAATAATAATCATTATTATGAATACTATGACAATTTAACAATATGTGGCACATGGACAATATAATGTTACTTTGATAACTTAAAGGAGTCATATTATTCCCTTTT